CATTACATTATACAACCTGTGATGAAGGTTGCAGATATTCACTGTCCAAAAAGGTTGAAAACTACTGGTCTGGACGTAAAGGAGCCTGAAGACACCTAACAGACTGTTTAATAATCTGCAGTTAAACTTTAAATCTTGAACTGACATCAGCCAGGAATTTCTTACCCACATTACATTACAGGTGACCTACATTTTAAACCTATAATTACATGTACCTGGAATCAGAGATGCTATGTTGTAAATATCCAGTTGTTCTATGAGCTTGTTTATTGTAGAGGTTAGGTCTACCTGCCAAAAATTTAGGATTAAACCCTGGCCAAACAACTCCTTTTGTCAGGTAACCTGTCAGGTTTGCCTCACCTTTGAGACTTATCTCTCACAATAGAGCCCTATTGGGCGGAGAGGTGCTTAGTAACCCTACACGAAAGCTGCAGGGACATTTCAGGTGATGTCTTTGTAAGAGTAAACAGCACTGTGTTTGCAGCAAGACTCAGTCAGAGGAGTACCATCAACAGCAGGACAAATGTCTCCTTTGGAGGATTTTGTTTTTTTCCTCTTCTCCAGTCCCACCGCTCTGTTAGGGGTTGTTGCTCTTTTGCTCGTCCTCTATCTTGTCTCTGGTAGCTTTACCTCCCATAAAGTGGGGAAGGAGCCTCCAGGACCGAGGCCTCTTCCCCTGCTTGGCAACCTCTTGCAGCTTGATCTCAAGAGACCCTATAAAACCCTCTGTGAGGTGAGTTTAGCTCTTATCCCAAAACAAATTGATTTGTAACATGTTGCTATAAAATAAATGTCCTTATACCATCTCTTACAAATTTGACTACATTATTTTTATTTTTCCAGCTTTCAAAGAAATATGGGTCCGTGTTTACGGTGTACTTTGGAACCAATAAAGTTGTGGTCCTAGCTGGATACAAGACAGTCAAAGAGGCTCTGGTCAGCAATGCAGAAGAGTTTGGAGATCGAGACATTGCCCCTATATTTAATGATATTAATGAAGGTCATGGTATGTCCTTCCTCTACAGTATTTTTACTGTATAGTTGGTTTTATTGATCACTGATGAGTATAACAATATATACATGACACGTGAAGATCAAATTTGACTTGCATGTCATGTTTAATAGGGATTCTGTTTGCAAACGGAGAATCGTGGAAAGAGATGAGACGTTTTGCCCTCACCACCCTGAGAGACTTTGGGATGGGCAAAAGAGTAGCTGAGGAGAAAATCTTGGAGGAATGCCGCTATCTGATCCAAATGTTTGAAGAGCATAAAGGTATGGAGTGATATAGAGTGTGTATGTGATAATACATGATAAGGTGTTAAAATAACGTCAAGAAGGTCTAATCATAATGCTGACTGATATTTCCTCTGCATTGTCTGTTATTTTCCACATCAGGATGCTGTGTCCAAATATTTATTTTTTGTAGCCATGTGTCATGGTGAGGTTTGTTTTAGTAGTAAAATACTGCACTTTTAAAGTTGTACTTCAGTCTCTTTCTGGCTGCCACTTTACAGGGAAACCATTTGATACAACATGTCCAGTGAATTACGCAGCCTCCAATATCATCTCCTCTATCGTGTATGGAAGCAGGTTTGAATACAATGATCCCAGATTCAAAAACTTGGTGAGAAGAGCAAATGAGAACATACGCATTAGTGGCTCTGCACCAATCCAAGTAAGATTCATATTTCCCTTATTAATTGGTGCTATTTTAAGGGGATTACACACAAGCCAATTTAAGTGTGTGGTAACTGACAGATTTATTCTATGTACACAAGATTTGTGCAGAATGATAAAATTTATCTAAGCCTTTAGCATTTAATAGCAGTAGATATACACATCTATAGTCCATGTAGTATAGTTGACATGTATTTTTTGATGACATAATTTTGGAAAGTAAGTTCAAGTAAGACAGTTTCAAATACAGAAAATGATATCAATTGTAAGCTGTAGGGGTGTCATTAAAGACTTATATCGGTTTTGGTAAACATCATTTTTTTTCTTAACCTTTGTAGTATTGGTTGTTTTGGGGCAATGATTTTAAATGACAAAATGATAGGCACAAGAAAGTGTGAAACAGATGGAAACTGTGGGTATCTGGTTATGCAACATGTAACTGTGGCAAATAACTGATCAAAAAGAGTGTCTGAATGCTAAATATATATGATTACCTGTATGTCATCGGTGTGGGGAAGAAAAATCCAATAATTCCTACTGTTTGTGCTGACCTAAAACTAAAATAAAAAAAATACATTTTATAAGCTAAAAAACAGATTAAGAACACATTAAGACAGGTAAAAGTCTAAAAAGTTTGTTAGACTTCATAAAATATCACTGATGGAAATAAAATGTCTCAGAATCTAATCTAAGCTCATTTCATTGAATTCTTTGTGTAATTTAAATAACCTCTGTTGTTTTTCCTGTTGTGTCACAGCTTTACAACATGTTTCCCAGGCTGGTCAGTTGGATCAAAAACCGGCAGCTGATAATAAAAAACGCTGAAATGACTATCAGGGATGTCAAAGATTTAATCAAGCATCTGAAAGATACTCTGAACCCTTACATATGCAGGGGTCTTGTGGACTGTTTTCTGATTCGGAAGCAGAAAGAAGAGGTAAGACTTTTGATGTTTTGCATTTTGTTGTTTAAGAAAAAGGGCAGTGATGAACAAGTTGGCCACACAGCTTCTTTATAATAATATGTGGGTGTTCTTTCTCGTAGGACTCTTGTGTTAAGGACACTTACTACAATGAGAAAAACCTGATATTTACAGTGACCAACCTGTTTGCAGCTGGTACAGATACAACAGCAACTACACTGAGATGGGGTTTAGTGCTTATGGCCAAATATCCACATATACAAGGTAAGGAGAGAGAGGAGGCTTGTATTTTTTAAGGAAATGTTCTAGAAGCACATGGTAGCTTACCTGGTAGAGCGTGTGGCCCCTGTAGAAGTCCTCGTTGCATGTTGTCCCCCTCTCTCCTTGTCCCCTCCTGTCTATCTTCACCTGTCCTATCAAATAAAGGCTTAAAAAGACCCAAAAATATGTTAAAAAAAAAAAAAAGCTTTCTCTCTTGTTATCTCCTCTGGAGCACCTCTCAATTTCGGGATACCTGATAAGGCACACTGCCATCTACAGTAGTGACCTTAAGGTCAGCAGTGTCATTGTAAACATCTTAGCATGCTGACATCAGCATTTAACTCAATGCCTGTGCCAAAGTACAACTTCACACAGTTGCCAGGATGGCTGTAGACTCCTAGTCTGAAGGCAAAGAATATTAATCTTTTTTATGTGTATTTAGACCAGGTCCAGGAGGAGCTGAGCAGCGTGGTAGGAAGCCGCCAGGTCCGGGTAGAGGACCGGAAAAACCTGCCGTACACTGATGCTGTCATCCATGAGACGCAGAGACTGGCCAACATTGTCCCCATGGCTATTCCTCATAAAACCAGCCGAGACTTAACCTTCCAGGGCTACTTTATCAAAGAGGTTCGGCTCTCACATCTGTTTTAGTATTTATCCATAAAGAATAAATAATGGAATTGTTCATCCACCTGTGAAAACTTGAAAAGCTTTCATTCTAAGACTTCACATGATAAATCTGCCCTCTTCTATTGCCTACAGGGGACTACTGTGTTTCCTCTTCTTACTTCTGTCCTGCATGATGAGAGTGAATGGGAGAGCC